TGCCACCCTGGAATAGATAAGCGATCCACCCAGGGTACACACTGCCTCTCATCTGGCAAAGGCTCCAGAAATTCTCTGACCCTCCATAGAATGATGCTAATGAATAGATGGATAAATATACACATGGTACAGTGTAGCATAGAGATTACAATAGCAATAGTAATTGCTGTTAACTAATATGTATTTGGTATAAGCAGATTAAATTCTTGTACATCTCCAAATAACGTCTAACACAGTTATAATCTATACATTTAGCATTCTTTGTACTGTCTTGAACTACATCTATAACACAGTTTTGTATGTGTAAAATCTATGTACATAGGGCATCAAATTCTTATTATAAAGTAGACTCTAATGGAGTGTCCTCTAACGGAATGAACACTGTGCATGTCTTCGTGTCTTGCTGAGGCTGTCCTGTTCCTGGCCTCTCTCTACACACCTTTTCCTGGACCTGCCAATGATGCCGTAATAGCTCACCAGGCACACGCTTCTCTCTTTCTTCTCAGCAAGAACGCTGCTCATTTTCAAAGAACAGAGGTCTGTTCTGCTCTTCTGCTGCTGAGTCTCTTTTGATGCTGAGGACAGCAGAGACACATATGAAAGCACATGAAACTGGAACACTGATGCCCCCCACCCACCAGTTCTCTTCAATTGGTAATTGGGAATTCAGGGAAGTAAAAAAAAAAAAAGCTCTCCAGATCAAATTCCTTCCTTATCATGCATCGTGCGCTCTGACTTTGTGTTTTTCTTACATGTTGTGCTTGTATTCCTCAAAGCTCTGCATATAAATCTGTGTGTGTTGTTGACAGCTACAAGGTCAGAGGTCCTGAAAAAATTGATTTTGTTTAGAATTTTAAAAAATACAACACAACAGAGAGTGTTTCAAGGTGGAGTGTTGCACTATTAATAGCCTAAGAATTGACAAATCCTGAGACAGTTTGTTGTTAGAAAGCTTTATCAGTTATGTTTTCATAAACTGGAGATCATGATCCTGTGGGGTGAACCTTTCCCCATGTGGAAAACTTCTGGTGAATTTTTTACACACTACATGATACCAAACCTTGTTTAAAGATATGGATCCAGACCGGTCAATAGCTTACAGTGTGGAGGTCTATTCATAACTATCACTCTAACTCAGTTTCAGTGGTCAGTATTGACAGCAGCAAGACAAGATTGAAACAAACCAGAACAGGAAGACCAGGTCTGGCAGAGTTACCAAACAACTGTAACTTAATCCATCCACAGTGATGTAGCATTCAGGCTTCTTCTGTTCATTATCATTGTGTCAGCCACAAGATAACGTTGGTGCGTCCTTAGGGTCTAACTCAGAAGTATTTGAAATTATTCATGTATTGTATTTGAATAGCAGTGAGGGATACACATAGTTCACCCCTGTCTCCCCAATTTTCTTTGGCCAAGGTGGACATTTCAAAGTTGACACACAATATTCACATTTATGGGAAATAAGTCAGGATTAAATACATTGGAATTATCCTTTAGAGCAAGACTGTGGGTTTTTTTTTTGTAATGCTTAAATGATATGATAATGCAGTTACAGTATGAAGAATACTCCACATAACAGACAACTCCTCCAAACTGTGAATCATGTGGTGCAAAGTGAACATTACCAGTCATACAGAGTCAAGAGATTCACTAAGTGTTTGACTCAGCATTAGAAGTGACAGAACACATGATGGAAGTGATGTAAGGCGTAATGTGTGACACAGTGGTTTTGTGATTTTTGTTTTTATACAATATAATCTTTAGAATGGTGACGTCATTAAAAACAGGCCTAATGACAAAATGACCAGTGGCATCTCTATTGCTGAAGTTGAGCTAAGTTTTACAAATTTCAGTAATATACTATTCAAGACAAGGGTTTTGCTGTTCCTGCTCAAGATTTAAACAGCCAACATACACAACAAGCATTCGCAGAGGTGATGCTGGATGTAATCTGGCTTTACTAGTTGTAATTTTATTTGATTCCTATTGCTGTTGTATCACACAGTACAACCAGAGTATAGACTCAAAAAGGATGCTGGCATGATTAACTGGTGAAGGACATGAGTAAAGGGGCGAGTATATATACACACTGGGGCACGGAAGACAATCACACACTGGTGGATCACATTCAGTCAGGACAGGTAACTATGCAGGCAGGAAAGCAGCCAAAGACTGGGGAGTGTGAAGACATCTGCAACGAAATGAGAGTGCACACCACAAAGTATCAAAATAAAACACAAAATAACTAAACCAGACCTTGGGAGCTGGTGGGAGCTGTATATGAAATGTTGATTCTCCTACAGTAATTCAAAACCAACACATTTACTGCCCTGCCTCACATTATAATCATTCAGTGAGTAAGTACAGAAACTGGTATGGGTGTTATTTAATGGGAAGGAGTCACCCTACCAACATCCACATTATCCACAATGTCATCAGTCCTCCACAGTACATCCCTAAACACCATCAAATTGGTGTCAAACAAATAAAACACACCTTGCCTCTGGAGCTCTGATGCTGAAAATTTGACCAACTCTCAGTGTTATACAGTCTAGTACTGACTACCCCTGGAGAAAAAACTGAAGAACCCACATAATCTTAATCCTGGCTAGCTCCAACTTGTACAGAGAAGACTCTGCTTATGCCTTCGCTGGGCCCTCATATATCTACGAAGCATTTACATGGCAAACTCTAGTCTTTGACCTTCTGTCTGCAGTGCTATACTTTCATCAATTACTTTTAAACCTCATACAGACTAGTAAAGCCAGGGCTAAGCTGTCTACCAGGCTAAGAGTTTAACACATCCCATTGCAACTGTGAATGAATTTGGGGGCTATCTTCAACTCAGTCATCACTTGTTGATAAGACTTAGATCTAAAATTGGAACCTTTATCTGACTGAAAGGAGCCCAAATGAAAAACATAATAAAATGATTGACAACACAACAGTAAGAAGGTATTAGTTTCCTTTTGTTTTGACATTGGCAGAGGCCCTACATCAGGGGTGTCGACATCCGGTCCTCGAGGGCCGCAATCCTGCATGTTTTAGATGTTTCCCTCTTCCAACACACCTGATTCAAATGATCAGCTCATCATCAAGCTCTGCAGAAGTCTGATAATTTGAATCAGGTGTGTTGGAAGAGGGAAACATCTAAAACATGCAGGATTGCGGCCCTCGAGGACCGGATGTCGACACCCCTGCCCTACATGATCACCATTATCTATTAAAAAAGGTCCTCTTCCACTTGCAGGGGTTGCAAGGGAATCATCAGCAGAGCTTCCTTTCCTTCTCCACTACATGACAGACGTAACAACACTGACAGAATCTTTTTACATCCTGAAGGCTGTAAAACACTAGGCTAAAAACACAATGCCTATTTTTTTCAATTTTCTTTCTGTTTGCCCACCAAGTAAACACCCCTGAGTAAAATACAACACCTAATGGCAGCAACATTGTGGCAAAACCACTTGTTTAGATGTGGTCCAATCCCCATGCACCTTGTGGAATTCCTCCATTCTCAGAACAATCTCAGACAAAGTACTATTTAGGCACCTTTCTAGCATGGTTATTTTCTCCAAGATGCCCTGCTGGTGGAAAACTGGGTTCTCCACAAGGACTGTTATGTAGGGGATGCAATGTGCAAATTGCTCTGCCCTCAATGTGAAGACTCACTGTATGGCAGACTGCTAATGATGCTGTTGCAGGTCATTAAGAAAAAACAATGACCAAGGTCAGTGACAACTTAATTTGGCCCTGTTTAAAAAGAAACATTTTTGCCTTTATTAAAACTTGTCAAACATGTCAGAAAACCAGTCAGTATCTGGTGTGACCACCA